AAAACACTCATTCCACTCCAATTCAATTCTATCATTAATATTAGTTACAATCTTAACGTCTTTAACATTTATTTTCAATTGAACATCATACTTCCTTGGGAACACTTATAAACTCTCCATAATTAATTCTTTTTTCCCCATATTTCTCTTCACTTATATTTTTATAAATCATTAATAATAATTAAAATGTTCCCATCTTTCCTAATTTCATTCTCTCATTCTCTTTATTTCATTTAGTTATTAACAAACATTCCATTGCATTACAATAAGTATTTTATCCATCATTTTAATCATACATTGTTTCATATTTTCTAAAATTATTTCTATTTCTAATATAACAATACTATCTTATGTACCTTTGCAGAATCCCTTTTTCAATTACATTTTCACCCATTATCTCTAAATAGGTTTATACTTTCAATCCTTATACATTTTCCCTGCTTCTCTATATCTTGTTTCTGTCCTTTATGACTTCTTTTCCTTTCCTTCTTCCCCCTCTTCTTCTCCCTCCCCTTTTTGCCCCCTTGTCTCTCTACTTCTAATTCTCTCTTCTGTAATCCTCTCTTCTGTTGCTTCCTAATATTGTAATTATTTTTCAAACTATTCTCTTTTTTTGGTTGTTTTTTCAAATCTTAAACTTTTCACTCTCTTTCCCCCCCTTTCCTTTTTTCCCCCACATAAAATTACTTGATCATTAAAGATGGCTTCTTTTTTGTCCCGCGCTTCTTGTTGATTATTATAGTTTCAGATCTCCATTTCTAAAAATTGAAATACGAAGCCAAAAGAACCTCTTCCTTCTTGTGCATCTTCTTTCTGTTTTTTAAGTTATATTTTCAGTTCTTCCAAAAGTTACGCCATTTTAAACACTTTTAAACAACCACCCGATTGATTTTAGTCATTTAAGTCCAAAAGCCAAAAATCCAAAAATCATCAAGTAATCCAAATAATCCAAAGCTGTTTCTTCTTGCTTCTTTTTTCCACTTTCTCTTCCTGGGTTCTATTATTTTGTTACAAAGTTTCAGTTAGAATATATCTTTTAGGAATCTTGTTAAAGTTTCACTGTAAGTTCCTTTTAGTTCCACGCAGTCTCCTCCATTTTTCCAGATCCCACTCTTTTATTCTTTCCTTTTCTCTCCTTTCCTTCTTTTAAAGGTTTTTGAGTATCCAAAAGTCTTTATTATCCCTTTGACATTTTATTTTCAGCTTAAATGCCTATTGACATCAAAGTGGATTTTGGCAATTTCTTACTTAAATCTCTTAGCTGTCAGTATAAGGAAGGGAAGAAAAAAAAAGCCAAATCCTTTCCCTTCCCTCTCTCCTTCTCTGCTTCAAAATCTTCTTTGGGAACAATGTTATTTTTTATAGTTCAAATTCCAGGGTACCTTACGTTGTTGCTTTTTCAGTTCAACCCGGTCAACCAAAACTTTCTCTTCTTATCTTCCCCCTGCACATTCTTTTCCAGTCGAGTTCTTCTTTGAGGTGGCCATTTCTGACCACTGCTGCAACCGCCTTCGGGAAAGGGAGTAATGTCCAGCTGAGGAGGAGAGATGCGGCTCTCCTCGACCTTGCTGGCGGTCTCCCCCTCTTCACCACCTCTACGGGATGGCTTAGCCCCGAATCCAGCCGGCTTGGGGCACTCCGGTGGCGAGCACAAATCGAAACCGTGCCCGATCGCAGATTTCGGTCCATCGCCAAAGAAGCTCAAACTGGAAGTCGTCCCTGCAGTATTTTTTTTAGCAAGAATTCACAAGTGGTTTGCTATTGTCTTTTTCCAAGGGCTAAGAGAATGAATGACCCAGGGCCACACACCTGCTTTTATAATCTTCAGGTTTCTAGAATGGTATCTTAACTCCTATACCAAACTGTCTCTCTGTGCTTAAACTGGTCAATGATATTCTCATCTATATTCGGTTAAAATGCCAAATACAGCTACATCTACCAATAGTTTTTTTTTAATGATCTATTCCTTAAATTTCACTCTCTAATCTGAATAATAAACTAAAGCGAACAAGAAGCTGTTAACTTCCTTTCTTTTCATCCAATATGGGTCATACAAACAATTATTAATTATAGTCACGGTGTACACACATATCCTTGAACTGTTGGATGGGACTGCAAAGCCCCACTAAAAAATGGCAGAGATTTTCCCCGCCCAGTCATGTCTGATTCTATGGGGAAATGCTCATATCCGTTTCCTAGCCGAGGGAGCCAGCATTGTCCAAAGATGCTTCCATGGTCATGTGACCAGGATGACTATACACCAAGGCGCATGGAACACTGTTACCTTCCCACCAAAGTGGTACCTATATATCTACTTGCATTTGCATGCTTTCGAACTGCTAGGTTGACAAGAGGCAAATTGTTAAATATTCAAAGGGAGCTTTATATTAATTCTATTTTGCCAATGAAACAATTGGATTTCATCTTATTGTACAAATACAAAATTAGCTTCCATGATTATTAATTACTGGTGGAGGATTTCAACAACATTAAAACTTTTAAATTACATTTGATATGCTGCTTGTACTATATACTTTATAATCTAATTACCACAAAGAGGATGAAGTGAAGTGGTACAAAAACTGACTTTGAAATTAATTTAGAAAAGAAGGAACTTTTCACTGCTGCAACTATAAAATAATATACAGCCAGTATTCTTGGTTGAAACCTCTTCCAATCTGCATAACCTAATACACCACCAGTCCATCATTATGTATTAATGCAATATAGAAACAACATATTTGCATGAAATTTACAAGTATTAAACCAATCTACTTACTTTTTTTCTATATTGAGAAAGTTGTGAGAGGGCAAAGACGGTTGCAACGGCCCCTCCTCCTACGAGGATAGTTCCTTTCACTGCCTTCTGAAAAGCCATGATTTAGTTCTAAAAGAAGAAAAAAAAATGGAAAAGTTTGCCAGATTAGAGAACGTTCCTCTAAACTTGAAATAAGAAACTTGAGGAAGTCTGTGTGATGCATATGAGAGCGAGTTTAAAGGTTCATGAAGGGACAGCCACATTAGGTAAGGAACTTTGGATAGAATATTTAGCTTTGCTGACTAAAAAGAAATACGATTCCATCCCAGAGTCCTTTGAAGAACTGTTTGATTATGAGTAAAGACTAGCTCAAACACTGGCAATCACAGTATTATTGCAGTGCAAAAACACAAATAGTCGAAAGCCCGAGTCTCAAAAATAATAACTCCCATCACAGCCCGTTTACTTATGGTATTAGCATTGTTGTATTTTAGCCGTAAGGGTATCCACAGCAATTCAATATCATTAATTCAAAAAAAAAAAAAAAACCCTCAAATTGTACTGCTCTTATAAGAACGTGCCTGAAGATGCTGATGAGATATAAGGGCTTTGGCTCTGCTTGTTAGATCTGGGAATACCAAAAGAACATGTATGCCCCAATTCACAGAAAATAATCGGGAGTCTTTGTCTCAGCAAATGAGGTATATCCTATTACTGCACCCACGTATGTCACCCAGCAGCAAGCTTGTAGGTATTCTCTTCCTTCCTCAAAGAGTAGTTGTGGGAACGTCCTACATCTATCCATACAAAGTCAAAGATATAATTCCCTATGTATAATATTACCTAACCCTGAAGCCCGAGGTAAACTGGGTACTGCAGGAAATGCCCTAATGCCAGGAAATGCCAGGGATGTCAAACTCAATTTCACTGAGGGCTGCATCAGGGGGCCAGGGTGGGTGTCGCAGCTCATTGTCCGTTTTCGGCCACAACAGCCTCCTGCAGCTCTCTGCCCTCCCAAGCTCCATTTTCACTGGCAGAAGCACCTTGGGCCGGTTCTTCACTGTTTTCAGGGTGGCCCCATGGGCCAGATCTAAACACCCCACAGGCTGGATCCGGCCCACGGGCCTTGAGTTTGACACCCCTGCTCTCAAAAGACCTTATTTTCTCGTCCTAACCTTCTAAGCTTAGCACGGTAGCAGCAGTGATATTATGCAACTTTGTCCATTGCAGGTAGTTCTCGACTTATGACAATTGAGCCCCAAATTTATGTCGCTAAGTGAGATATTTGTTAAGTGAGTTTTGCCCCATTTTATGACCTTTCTTGCTACAATTCTTAAGTGATTCACTGCACTGTTAAGTTAGTAACATGGTTGTTAACTGAATCTGTCTTCCCCCTTGATTTTTGCTTGTCAAAAGGTTGCAAAAGGGGTCATATGACTCAGGATACCGCAACCATCATAAATGTGAGTCAGTGTCATGACTATGGGGATACTGCAATGGTCGTAAGTGTGAAAAATGGCCATTAAGTCACTTTTTTCAGTGATGCTGTAACTTTGAACAGTCATTAAATGAACTGTTGTAAGTCGAGGACTACCTGTATATTTAGGTCTTGCCTTAGCCATGAAAGCCAGCTGGTTAACCTTGGGGAGGCCAGACACCCTCTCTTAGTCCAACTCACCTCACAGGGTGGTTGCTGTGGGGAAAAATAGGAAAAGATATGTTGGGTATGTTCACTGCCTTTAAATTATTTGTAATTCAAATATCTTGCTATTATTCAAATACAGATGGAAAGTTTTACATTATTGGTACTTTCTTATTTCTCTTAATGGGACGGAAGGAATCATTATTTTCGTTTTCATAATGATACAGTGATGAATACCAAGCTGAAGAAGGCTGCATCATCTCAACAAACTCTGATTATAAAAAGCAGTTGCCAAGGGAGGTCAGACTACTTGTCCATCTACCTCAGCTCTCCCCAACCTGATAGCTTCCAAATGTATTGGAACTTCAACATTCCTTGGCTTGCATGGGCCTCTAAAAAAATTCCAAAAATTATCCCAATACATCTCAAGGGGCATGAGGTTGATGAAAATCGAACTAGCCCAGTCCTATAGCCCAGTCCTATCACTGCTACCACTGTTACCTTCTCCCTGACTTTTTAATTGGATTTTTCCAGGAATCTTCTGCATGGCATTCAGCTATAGCATCTTCTCAATGCATTGCACATTATATTTTACCTTACGGCCCCAGTCCTATTCATGCGCAAAAAAATCTATTTGGGAATTTTTGGAAGGCCATTTTGGTGGGAAAATAATAGGAAACAGCCTCTGAAACTGAAAAACTCTCCTGGAAGAAAACAATAGCAAACCACATCTGTATTATTGCCAGGAAAATGACATAGACATGCCCATGAGGTCACTTGGTATCAAGCTCCACTCAAGAGTGCCTTTTCTTTTTTTCTTCTATAAAAATCTGATGGCAGAAAAAAGAGCGCATAAACACCCTTTTACAAAAATAATTTGAACTGATTTTCTCAGTCCACCAGATATGTGCTAGTCATATATTGATTTCAAGAAGGCTGATGCAAATGCTATTTTCCAAGTAGGTAGAACAGGCTATGTGTTGAGATACAAGAACAGGCCTGCCATTTAGAAAATATTGACTATGGAATGCATGCTTATCAAATCCAATCATCAGCAGCTACACCCTGGTAAGCCATTCTTTTTCAGCAGTTATTCTTCCTTTGAGGAAACTGTCGTGATTACACAACCTCTTCGGTAAGTTTTATGGAAAAGCATTAAAGGTCTTTATGAAGAACCACAGAAATTTTAAAATATCCTTCCTAAAATAAGATTACATAAAGTTATTGCAGTACAATCTTTTCAGGATCTTAGTATGAAGGAAGAGAGGAGACAATACTTCTAAAATGATGCCTACCACCTGGTTTTTATAAATTCTTATGCTAAAACAGCAAATGGGTGGAAACTAATCAAGGAGAGAAGCAACTCAGAACTAAGGAGAAATTTCCTGACAGTTAGAACAATTAATCAGTAGAACAACTTGACTCCAGAAGTTATGAATGCCCCAACACTGAAAGTTTTTAATAAGAGATTGGACAACCATTTGTCTGAAGTGGTGTAAGGGTATCCTGCCTAAGCAGGGGAGTGGACTAGAAGACCTCCAAGGTCCCTTCCAACTCTGTTATTCTATACTAAACATTTTTAAAATCCCAGCCATTCCAAAAATGGCTGTTTGCATCAGTTTAAAACATCAAAAATATTTTGAAGTATTGCAATTTGATCAATCTAATAGGCCTATGCCTGGAAGCACATACTAATTTCCCAGAGAGTAATCTCCACTGAAAACAGAATTTAAGCTAAGACAACAGAAAAGACATGATCAACTCCTGATGACTTCATGAATATAGACTTAGTTTGCCATGATCTTCTCCTTATGATTTTTCCATTTCTCAATCTGATCTACAATTCAGACCACAACAGATCAGATGGAACAGAATGATCTGCTCTACTAAGAGGGGATTAAATGCAGGTGCCCAGCTATACTAGTTTGAAACTGATAAAGACACTGTATAGACACATAACAGATAACAGAATGGTAGAGCTGGAAGGATCATCTAGTTCAGCAATGTACAGGAAAACTATTCATTTACTGGTTTATTTTTAAGACTGTGTATAAACAGAATTTAAAACATGTCGTAATAACAAGCAAGAGACCCCAAAATATTTTTTTTTAAAAAACTTATGTGGTGAATTCAGAAATGAAGTTTCCTTAGTCTTCTTTTAAAGAAGTCCTCAAGAAATGGAGAACTGAATCCACAATCTTCACAGGCAGATCTTTATTTTATTAAACCTGAAGCCACCCAATTCATTAACATCCCTGGGCAGCCTACAACTTTTAAACACACACTCACTCACACACAGACACACACTTATGTGTCATCAAGCTCCTACTGACCACATAGTTTCATCAATTAATCACAGACACAATCCATCAATAAACCATAAACCAACTCCAAGGAAGGGCTTTCTACAATCAAGCTTGTCAATACAGCTGAAAAAACAGCCATAAAAATTTCTTATACAAGCTACATGGATCTCGGGGAAGGGGGCGTGTGGAACAGAGGGACAGGACACATCATTCCAGAGGGCAAGGGCAGCAACAGGATAGGTTGGTCCACTATCATACAGATTTTCCAGTAGGGTTTTTTGCTATATTTAAATGAACTTCTAGGTCGTTGCAATTTATGCCCATTATTTTTGATTCTTGTTTCTTCTTTTCTCCATACTGAATATCCCAAGTTCTTTCAGCTGTCTATTAGGGCATTTTGTCAAAGAAGATGAGATTTGTCTGGGATTACCTGTTTTTGACAAAGCTGTGGTGACTCTTGGCAATCACAGCAATCTTCAAGCTTACCAATGGGCTGCTTGTTCCATCATCCCTCCAGAGATTAATGTCCAGTTCACTGTTCAATAATTACTGGGATCCTGTTTTTCTTGAAGAGGGGAAATACATTTTTTTTCTTCCCCAGTCATTTGGTATCTTACCACCTATCAGACAATAGTTCCTCAGCAGTATTCTTGGGTATATTTCATCCTAGGACCTTGAAGGTATTCAAATTAGCCAAATGCTTATTTATTTCATCCCGACCATCCTGCAACCTTTTCTGTTCCTTCCCAATATATGCTAGTAAAATAACTTTTTTAGATATAAAGACTGAAGCAAAATTTGCCGCCCCCCCTCCACCATTAAGAATTCACTTGGAGAACACACTTCTTTTGCCTTTTTTTTTGCTATGAATGTATTTCAGAAAAGCTTTCTTATTGGATTTCATCTCTCTTGCCAAGTTTAGCTAATTTTCCACCTTTGCCTTTGTGTACTTCCTGAATTTCTGAGCCAAAGCTTTGCACAATTGCTTGAGTTTTTAGTTCTTCCTTCTAAAGAAGCACCCGTCTCTCAACAAACTGCCTATTCAAACACATTGGCTCCTTTAGGTACTGTACCTCCTACCTCCTTTCCTTGTTTGAGACTACTTTATCCTTAATTTATTTTAAAAGAAACCCAGACAGGGGTGGTATTTTTGCATTTCAGATTTTCTTCCCATGACATTT